ATTTGAGTTCATACTGATGAAAAGTATATAAAGAAGATTTTGTAAAAATTTCAAGTAAATCGGTCCAATAGAAGTTGATAAATCATGGGTATTCTATCGAAAAAGATAATTTTGAGGAAAACTGTTTGAACTTTGGCAGAGGAAGGAAACCGTGTAGGATTATTGTGGTCAAAAAAAAGGTATATCTTCGAAAACAATATGAATTTTGAAAAAACCTCTTGCACACCCTTTTCTCAATAGTTAAACTTTGAAAATATCTAAATAAAAACATAATCGATTTTTTAAAAAATCTAGACCAGAATATACTGAGGCATTACCATAGATAATGAATTGTAGTTAGCCTATTAAATAAATATAAAATATTTTGAACAATTAAACTGGCTGTAGGTAATAAGAAATTGTTATTTGCACATACATTAGTACGTTATTATATACTAGTAATTACAAGGCAAAGTACAAATACAAATAGCTTTTGATTGATAAAACTTTCACAAGTTTTTCGTACGACTAACCAAGACACTACATTCAATTAGAATTAATGAAAGCAATAATTATCATATTTGCATTATTTTCTCTAATGTAATCGTTAAGGTTTTAATTAATTTTAAATTTATGATTTTAAATTTTTTGTGTTGTTTGATCCAAAGCAATTTTGGTAATTTGCAACATAATTTCTCCAGTATTAGAAAACCTGGTACCTACTCAATCAATTTCTATTGATTTCATTGAATTCTTGATCATCTCGCAAGTTCATCTCGATCATAATTCCGCGATATTTGCAATAACGTTTTGATGACGTAAAACAAGATTTACAACAGAATAATCGTTATACGGTAATGCAGAGAATTCTAGCACGATTGGCAATAAAACCATGCAATTAGTGTAGCAGAAATAATATTTCATGTTTTTATCTCATTTCCAGAATAACTAGTAAGAAAATACACCGTGTAATTATGTCCACACAAAGCTATAATTTCGTATGATTTTTTTGAAACGCCAATGTCTGATTTACTGCGTATAAATTGTATACGTAATTTGTTTCTAGTAAAAGGTAATAAATTCGCGTTCGAAATGTTTGATTTAGGCCGGGTTTACAGGAACATGAGAGAATTCTATAAGACTATATATATATATATATATATATATATATATATATATATATATATATATATATATCAAGTCCAAGAATTATACCTAAGTGTACGTTAAAGTTATATTTCTTGAATTTTAAAAGAGTTTTGTTTAAACTGTAAAAATCGCTTGTTTAGAGAGGAATTTTATAAATAAATTCATAAGTTTTCATATTCCAGTTACTGAACGATACCAACATAGTAGAGGATATTTGATCAATTGATCAAGTCTAAGAAGAAAACCCAAATACATTGAAGTTACAGATCTTAAGTAAGTCTTATTCAAGCTTTTAAAATCGCTTGTTTAAAATGAATTATTAACATAGAAGTTAAGATTAAAAAAAATGACTGGGTTTAAAAAAAATATCAATTAATCGAGTCTAAGAAGAAAACCCAAGTACATTGAAGTTACATATCTTGAATTATAAATAAGTCTCATTCGAACTGTTAAAATAGCTTGTTTAGGGTGAATTTTATAATCAAATTAAAAAAAAACTCAAATTCCAGTTACTGGATGATACTAAAGTAGAAGTAAAACTATTTATTGTTAGTTAAAATTTCTAAAACAAAGCGATGTACTTATCCTAGTACCTATTTATTCAGTTTAAGTCTTAGTACTTATTTTTTTAACTTTTTGTCATTAACTTGTAATGTTTTCGACCAGCTTCTCTCAAAAGAAACGATGAATATTTCAGTTTTGTAGAAACAAATTTGATATTTTGAGATGTCACATAAAGTGGTTCAATTTTCCCATAAACGTAAAAGATCAGAACTAATCACAAAAACATCTACCTGCATTTCTTAGAGTATGTCAAATTAACACAGAAAATCTTGAAACAAGATATTGAAAAAACAGTCATTTTGTTAGAAAAATTTCCTATGAGAAATTAACCAGTTACAGATTGTTTAAAAAATATTTTAGTTACTATTCTTGCCTTAACTAGGAGAAAAAGTCCTATAATTAGAAAAAAATTGAAGATTGTTAAGAAAATTTTATGCACACACACATACTAAGTTATATATCATTTTATTCGTAATTTTATTGCGAAAGTTTTGCCAAAGACAATTTTTGGAAGGACTAGATTTTAGAAATTAAAGTTCGTGTTAGTGGTATGTTCAAATATTAAGGTAAAGAGATTTAAAGTTTAACAAATACAAATATTACTTGTAAATTACAAGTTATAATTTTTCGCGATCATGGGTATGCGGTTTTAATGCGTTCGCTGTTAATGTGCATAATATATGACCCATAAATATGTGCTGAATGTTTTATTTATTTACCCTTCGTATTGCATTATATTCAAAACATATTGTCGATTATATATATACGTAAGCAAAATTCTCAGTCGTTGAACATATTTCAATAAAGTATAATGATGTAAAACAAAGACTAAATGTCAATAAAAATATGATTGTTTTAATATTTATAATAAACTTAAATAATTAAATAAAAAAATAATTATAATATATTAATACATTTGCGGACAGTAACAGTTTAATTGAAAATCATTTTATTTTTAAATAGATTGTGATATCCAAAATTTAACTAAATCCTGTTTAAAGAGTTTAAAGAGTAGTGAGATTATCATAGTTTAATCCTTATAATCATTGAATGCTATAGCATCCACGCTTCTGTTTTACACAATGTGATTGCAAAATAGCACGTGTATAATTCTACTACAAAAACCGTTTTCTAAAATTATAAACCAAAATCAGATAGTAGCGCTAGTTCAGTGCAGTTTTTCAGGTGCACGACCTTAGATAAGAACTTATTCTATTTCTTCAATGAAATACATACATGTATGAGTATCCATTTAAATACTTAAACGAATTCGTAAAGACGCTTGTATACACATTCACAAAATATTTGTATATAATTTCGGTTTTGTGTACGTAAAAATATTTTATGGCAATGAAACTATTTATTAAACAAAGCATTGAGTTTCGCAACGTGAATCGCACACAGTTGAATGGAAAAAACTTAATGAATGGAAAGAGAATTGTATATAATAAATGTTTTGTTTAAATATGTAGAGGAGCTAGAGGATTGTTGTAACTGTTTTGATTTTTAAATTAACAGATCTTGAGAATTTGAGAGTTTGAAATCTTGAGATTATATTTCAACGAAATAAAGCTGGGCAAATGCTGTAACTATTGCTTTACCGAATCAAGTGAAAATATTTCCATATCTATTGTTCATTTTTTCACAATTGATCATTTCTAGAAGAAGTGCAGTGTTACAACTTGCCCTGTGTTCAGGGCTAGTTGTAGTAAAACATGGTCAAATAGTGATGAAAATAAAATCCGAATTGAATCAGATGGATCAATCAACAGTTCAAAACTATTTTACTACAGTAAACTTACATTAATGAAAAAGAATTAAATTATTAAGGTTTAGAATGAAAGAGCACTTCACAAAACTTATTATAAATTACCAATGCACTTTTATAATAATAGGGTATCTATTTAGTATTACGTCCTATTTTCCTTGCATTTTAACATGCTGAATTTAGGAATGGTTTTATTGGTCAAATACTATTGGGCACTTGCTATATAGCCTAGGGTGGTCCTTAAAATGGTCATTTTTGAATTTCCTTGCTCCCAGGGGCTCAAATGGTACCAAATTGATAAAAAACAATTCTCTGAAAGTTTTAGCTCTTAATATTAACGTTTAGATAGAGCGCAACTCAATTAAACTTCGTATGGAAAGAGCATGAAAAAAATTTTGAAAATTAAAAAAAAAAATGTTTTAGGTATAACTTAGCGACAAATGAATAAGCTTTATTCATTCATTGGTTCGCTATATTACATCTAAAAAACATTTTTAAATTTTTTGAAAATTTTTTCATGCTATTTCCATACAAAACTTTGATTGAATTGCGCTCTATCTAAACGTTAATATTAAGAGCTAAAACTTTCAGAGAATTGTTTTTTATCAATTTGGTACCATTTGAGCCCCTGTGAGCAAGGAAATTCAAAAATAACTACTTTAAGGACCACCCTAATATAGTCCTCAATATCTTAGTCAACCTTCTTAAATTACGGCCAAGATTTGATAAGGGCTTTTTCTATTTAACCCTTCGGGGTAGGGGGTATGAATGTATAAACTTATAATAATTTTTAATAAGTAACGATAGAAAAAGGTTGTAGAGTAGAGATAGAAGATCGATATATATCGTGAACTAAATACAGTAGAACTCCAATTATCCGAATTAATGGGGACCGGGACCCATTCGGATAATCAAATATTCGGATAATAGGAGTTTGTTTTTAAAATTGCCATTGGAGAGAAAAAAAGTTACGTTTTGATATTGCACTATTTTTTTATTGAATTAAATGAAAGAAACATGACATTTTCACATGTTTTAAATATAAATAAAATGTACTTATGTACAGTTTAGAAATAAAAATCATTGTTTTGTAAACATCTCCGTCAAATCAAAACAATGTGCCTACACTGGCTTTGCTGGTGGAAGAATAATAGCGCACTTAGACTTATTTTGGACAATTTTTTTTCTGAAAGTGATTCGGATAATCGGCGATTCGGATAGTCGGAGTTCGGATAGTCGGAGTTCGGATAATTGGAGTTCTACTGTAATGGTTTTATTCACATATCTTATAGTGATGGAATATTTATGATTTATAGTCCGTTTAATATCTAATTAATCATAGTGATCCTCCTCAAATAGATTAGAAAATCTATTAGAGCACTAAAGTAAAAATATTTTTTGTGTCATCTTATTAGACAATTTGTTTCTCTGCGATCCAGTATATATGAACATTAATTTTAATACACAAAAAAGCAAAAAATGGAATAAAATCGATAATAAATAAATAATTATATAAAAAAAATAAAATGATGGAACTCACCTAATAGAAGTAAGCCGGCTGATATTGGCATGCACGCAATTTCGACTCAGCTCCTACTGCTCTGTTTATTGTTTTTATGTGGTGGTATCGTGATTCTGCCGCTTCCGGTATCTGATTTCCATGATCCGCGGAAATGCGTTGTCAGCACTGATCGTCACTTATGATTCGTAGCACTTTTCGTTTCTCACTTTTTGATTTCTACTGATTACTTTAATTACTTTTTAAAACTAGAACACATAACTGAACTCACGACTTCGGTTAATTCACACACATCGGAAAAGATAAGTTGACAGGGTGACAGTACGATCCGCGACTTAGGACCTTGACGCTTGACTACTGGCGCGCCCGGCTCGACGGGCCCGCGAACTCGCGCCAGCTATTGCTTCGCCGCGTCGACGAGCTTCGGGTGCAGTCGCTTGCGAAAAGCTGCCGTCATGGTAAATGCAGACGGGAGAGTCACGTAGGAAAAAGCGTCACTCTTACACTGCAAAAGCTCACTATCGGGTAAAAGCTCTTCGCACTTATAGAGGCATCGATCACGAATACACAGCGACACGACACTTTTAAAATTAATGTTTATATTGAAATTTTCACCTTAATTAGATTATGTACAAGCAGATATCATATCAATAATTTAATGAGTTTATTATGCAAGTGCATATTTTTATAAAATTTATTAATAAAAAATAAAAAATAAATGAAATTCACTCATAATGTCTGAAAATATATTCATATTTTCTATGAAAGTAATAAAAAATAAATATTGATGAATAATATTCATTTTCAATTATCATAAAATAAAAAATCATTATTCTTCATGCATTATATATATAGAACTAGCAAACCCAACGAGCTCCGTTTCGCCACCAGATGGTTTCGTGAGAAAGATGAAGGATGAAGAAGAAGAAATTTTTTGTTTATGTTATATTTGAAAAGGAAAAATTTGATTTTATTATACAACAGTAATGAATTTATTTTGATTACAAAAATGAAGTGTTTTTTAGTTAAACTTCTCTAAGTAAATGAAAGTGAATCCGCAAATTGTCCGTTTCATTGAAGTGCTCTTTGGTAAACCACATTTTTTGTTTTTTGGTCTGACGTTAACACAAACAAAGCGGATGGTTTTCCAACTCGTGAACAGGCATCGTATAACTGCCCATGTGAAAAACAATGATTTTCTAAATAATCTATTTGAAATTTATCCCGCAAACACTAAGCTATTGCACCTTGCACCTTGCGAACGCAAGGCGAACTGGAAATTGCAATCGTTTGAAGTCAAACGGAAGACCAGTCAGAATCATTGGTATGTCACCAAATCGCCAGCAATTTTTGATTGAATGGTAAAATTCATAATATTTCTTGGCGGCAAGAATTGCTCGTTGACTTAACCAAGCATAATTCTGATAATTCTCACTAATGTCATTACTCGAATTTTTAATTACGGTGTGTGAAGTCCCAGCAATTTGCATTAGGGCACGATGCCATGCACCACTAATTTTCCTAGCTATAAACATTGCTGAGCCCGAACCCTTTCTAACGAATGCGAAGTCAAAATCGGTTCGTGCGTTCTGGAGTTAAATCGTCAGGAAGGAAAACCCAACTTATTTTTATATATATATATATATATATATATGTAGATACATGCAATACAAATGGAATAATTTTTATTCCATGATAATTGCGAAGAAATATTTTATATAAATATTTATATACCATAATTTTTTTAATTTCTCAGAATCCAACTAACAAATTCATAAATAAAATATCATAAACATATAAATTACTGACAATAAAAAAGCGTGCCCTTTGTTAGTTATGCAGTAAAAAAGCACTTTGACGAAAGATGCTCGTTAATGTTTTGTATTTAATAAAGAATGAGCAACTGCATAGTTTCGCTTGCGGACTCCGTATAACGATAACTAATTTGTAATAACCATGGCAAATGAAAATTGTACGATATGAAATGTAAAAAATACAATACATTCCCTCATATGAGCGTGTCGGATTGCTTTAACGAATCGGCAAATGTCTGTCCGTTGCGCTTGATGTGACCTCGTGTTTTTTTCGCTTATTGCATCATCGTTCATTCATAAAATGAGCTGAGTTGCTGATTCGAATTGGGTTTATTGTTCCAAGACGATTTTCTGTATGGCAGATTGCTTCGCCGCATGGCTTCGATTGTAGGTCATAACTTAAGTGATAGATGTGTAATGCTCATATATTCAAAGGACAATATCCGATGGGTTGGCCAGTCAATAGCCAGATATGTAAATATCATTTTATAATATGTATATGAAACTGAAATTATTGAAGTAAAACTTCTTTAAGCGCGACTAGGGTGTAAATATGTACAAATGCAACGGAAGTGCGTTACGGCAGATGAGATAAGTTAAGAGTCGAGTGCCAATGATTCGATATTTGCTCTCGATGACATCATTTATATACGGGTCTATTGTGATTAGTCGTCGTGTATGTGACTAGAGATCTGCCGTTGTATGCGTACCGATATAAACAAGCGAATCGGCATAGATAAATAAACATTTTAAATTTACATCGTAGTATTAATCTTGATTTAATGGAAAATGCCTGAATCAGAACAATACTTTACCCTGTTCCTTGAAAATAATAAAACAAATTGAACATTTGGGCCGTGTAATAAACGTAAGTTTATAGATTAGAAATTATTTCTATATATTCGTAGTTTCTATAAATCTTCGAAGTTAATTTATTAATCAGCAATTACTTCATCTCTCTAATGAAGGTTCATTTCTAAATGCCAATTACAATGACAAACTGATCATGTTATATTTGAAGTATGGCTTTAATTACATTATTGGTTTTTAACATTACAACTATTTTTAATGCTATTATAAATATATAATTTATAATTTATCATTATATAAATGTGTATAATGGTTGACACTAATAAATGTGTGCATCACGAGTGTTACCATATGACTAATAAACATTATTCAAAATTGTTATATGATATATTTATTTTTACTTAGATGCCATCTTGTACAGTAGCAAATAAGTTTTACTTCAATCGCGCAACTTCAACCCTACGCGCACTCTTTTTTTAATACTATACTTTTTAACCCTACGCGAGCACTAATAATACTATACTATGGCGAATAAACATTCTTAAGTTAGTAATCTAACGTCCAATAAACTGGCGCAATTTAGTAGCCCATATGCTTGAAATTAATAATTAACACTACTTCCTTACTATACTGAATTTTTGAAATGAGTTATTATGACCACCATATGTGTAAAATAATATTAATAGACTTGGTAATTTACATTGTGCTTATACCACAGTGATAAAAAATGGACTTATCAATCAAAGCCAAAGAAGTAAGCCGCCAACAACTGCAATATCAGTATTATTTTAAAGGAAAAATAAATAATGGGTGATACTGCCCGTGAGATGAGTTATAAACTCCAACTCGATTCAGGGATGAATGGCGTAAGAGATTTTCCATTGCCAATTCACACCGCAGTGCCCGAAATGGGGTACTTACAATTCGAAACATATTTTTGATCTATATTTTCAAGTTAGAATGGACATCGCTGCTGCCCGATGTCAGATTGCCAGAGCAGGGTTTGAACTCGCAACCCCGTCCAGCGAGGTAGCACTCCAAAAATAAATAGCAACATTTATCTAGCACGAAATAGGAAATAACATGTCGGATGCGATGATAAAGTTATTCTTATCCCATAACATATATTTTTTAATGATCATATGTCATAATTACCCCAAGGTGTGCCGTTCACACTGCACCGGAATGGGCGGGGTGATGACCCATCACCAGATCCGGATGCAAGTGTTAAATTTCTCCAAATGTGTCTCTCGCGAATGCGGAACCAATGCCGTGCAACTGCGTGGGTACACAGAGGCGTGCCGTCCTAGACCTTGGGGGGTGGCGAACGCACCCGCATTGTTATACCAACCCCTCGGCCCACGCAAAAACGAGTTTCGTCGCCATGGATACATAGATTGGGTTAGACGGAGAGCCGAAAGGTACAAATTTATAATACTGGAGTATCCATTTGGATATATATTTTTAACAATAATCCAAACTGAAGAAGTCTTATGAGCTTCTGCGCTCACTATTTTAAGGACGTGGCAGTAGTCCTACAACTATGTGACCAATTTGATATTACAATTTTAGCAATACTGATTATTTTTATTGGTTCAGAAATTATGTGCAGGGCGGCTATTTTTAATTAGATACAAATTGCTATCTAATTTCCAAGTGAAAACTGTTACTGTTGCTTAGCATTAACCTCTCTGAGAGAGAAATCAAAACAGTAACCTCCAATTCGATGTCCATAGCTCTGACCAATCAAACTTCTATCAAACACTACAAAATATTCAAAATTCATATTCAAGACAACTTTATGTTGGAGCTTATGGGAATTATTTAAAACGAAAATAATGGATATTAACACTTTTGGGCGGCTGTCCACCTCAGTGGACAAACACACTCTGTGAGGCACAGGCTATTTTATAAACAATGACTCAGTTTGCATCGAAAAGTTGAATAAATCACATATAGCAGTGATAAACAATATTGTATTTTGAAAATAATTTTAAGTTATTTTAGTTGTATTTTTAGCCTTTTTCTTTGCTATTTGGTCTTTTTTTTAATATTTAAAACGACCTTTTAAATACGGCAAAACAACTGGCGAATTTTGAGAATTAAGCAGTAGTGAAGATGAGTTTCAAATAGACATTCATACAGACAAATTTTACGAAATTACTATTCGCACCGATGATAGTGATGAATGTGATGATGATATTATCCAACCAACAATTTAGAAATATTAGACAAAATAAATGAAGAGCGGGAAGACATTAGCGAATGTGCCGATTCTCCTTCAATAATCGAGTTTGAAATACATCAACAAACACCCCCACTACAAATACCAAGCAATATAAGACATCCAATAGATTATTTTACTTTATATTTTATAAATGAATTATTAGACAATATAATAGAAAAAATAAACCATTATGGCAGCAAAAAAATTACCAAATATACTGACTAATCAGTGGCATATTCTAAATGCGAGTGAAAGAAAAAGGGATTGTATTTTCTGTTCTGACAGAAAAGCACCAGGAGAAAGGCGGCGAACAACATTTTATTGTAAAACTTGTCAAAATCAACAAGCTATGCATTTTGAAAATTGTTTTGAACGTCACCATTCTTTATAAAATGATCAAAAATAAATTAATATTATAAATGTATGTCCTACAATGACTACAAATTTTTATCAAACAAATTGCATAACATACACAATAAAATCAAGTTTACAGCCGGTAAAGTAGATTGTTTTGAAATGGGTGCCGTCCCGAAAGTGTTAAGCTTTCAATATGAATATATTTCAATATATAACGAGAAGAATAAAAATAATATCGAGGTTTTGTATCCAGCTTTCCATCTATCGTAGCGCCAATTTCACGCATTTTCTACCCCATCTCCGACTGTTGTCAAAGACTGAATGGACTCTTAGGGGAGCGCCCGATGCCCACACAACGTG